GTCAGTAGGAACAATACGGAAGAAGGGCGCTCGAGTCGAGAATGCACCTTTCAAGTGGTACCTCAAGAAAATCACATTTCCATAGAGCAGTACTCTAATCGCTCTCAGCACTCGAGCAGCGACTTAGTGCTAGAGTGCTCGGCGAAAAGCTAACGACAAACAACATCGTTTTGGGGCTATTTTGACCCTTTAAATACCTTCAATCCCAATTTTCCCCATTTTCTTCTATTTTTCAACCATAAACATTGTATTAGAGAGAGAGAGATCTCAGAAGATGGGAGAAGGTTAGAAGATTTTGGAATTCTTGAAGATTTCAACACCTAGGGTTTTGGAACTTGGATCTAAGGTAGAGTTCCTTTTCCCATTCAGAAACATTGAGGAATATCATGCCAAATTTTGATTCCTTGAAGATAATTTATCAAAAACACAAAGTATTTGATCTCGTGTCAAATCTATCCTGACTATACATAGGATTTTGGTAAAGCATCATGGATTTGATTGATTTCATGTCATAGGCTTTGAGACCCTTGATTTGTTTTGAATTGGTTTTCATTGTAAACCACTACATTGCGTATAATTAAGCTGGTTTCGAATTCTAGTGGAACTTATGATGTGCTTTAAAGTAAATCTATGACTTTTCTCACTTTGTACGTTATGGGTTCACTAACTATAATTTTTGAATATTTGTTAAAATTGAAACTTGATTCATATTGATAGATTCTATAGTTATATACATGTTCTTTCCATGGTTCAGACCAAAAACATGTTTTCTAAAATAGATGTGTTGGTTCCAATTAGATTTTTTCTTTTAGGGTATAGGAATAGAAAAAAATTTGCAAAAAGAGAGAAATCTTACTTGAATGGTAGTGTATTATTAGGTCATACAACTACACCACAACTTATATTTAAACACCAAGTACCAAAATACCCTCAAGCTATAAAAATAAAGAATAATGAATACTCCCCTCAAATTGATGTATAGATATCTCTCATGCCTACCTTTCAAACAATGACATTAAAATCTTGCTACTAAGCCTCTTGATGAAAACATCGGTTAATTGGTCATCTAATTTCACAAAGGGCATTCAAATCAAACCTCCATTTAGCTTCTCTTTGATGAATTGCCACTCAATTCCAACATGTTTGCTTCTATTATGTGGAACTAGATTATGAGCAATCTTGATAGTAGCCTTATTATCACGATATTGTCTCACAGGTCCATCATCACCAATTTATAACTCTCCCAATAAGGTTTGGAGCCATAAAAGCTCACAAATTCCACAACTCCTTGCTCTGTATTCAGTCTCTAAAGTAGACCTAACTACCACTGCTTACTTTTTGTTTTGCTAAATGACAAGGTTTCCTCCTATGAAGGTGCAATAAATCGTCCGTCATCTAATGAATATGTCCAGTCTGCATCGATAAATGCTTCTAGCTTCAAATGACCATGATTAGATAACAAAATCCCTTTCCTTGGAGCTGACTTAAGGTACCTCAAAATACAATAAACTGCTTCAAGACGAGGAATTCAGGAATCATGCACAAACTCGTAAACAACACCTACTACATAAGCAATATCTGACCAAGTGTGAGAGGGATATATCAATCTCCTCACTAATTTCTGGTACCTCTCCTTCTCAACTTTATCACCAACACCACCACTTAATTGAATCTCGACATCCTAACATACCTATATCTTTATCTAATCTAGTGACTTTAATCCTAAAAAAGTATTTCAAAGGATTCAAGTCTTTGATTTCAAACTCTTTCGCTAACTAAGCATTAAGTTTGACGACTTCTGCATATCATTCCAATTATCACTATGTCATCCACGTACACAATGAGAACAATTATCTTCTCATCAACTTGTTTGATAAACATGGTATGATCAACATGACTTTTGTTTATATCCAAATTTCAACATAACTATGAGAAACTTATCAAACAAAGTTTTGGGAGATTACCTTGGCCTATAAAAAGGCTTCTTCAACCTGCACACCTTCTTTTTAGATACCTAGGATGAAAAACCGAGTGGAATCTCCACATACACCTCCGCCTCCAAATCTCTATGAAGGCATTCTTCACGTCCAACTGTTGCAGACTCCAACCCCGATTAACTATACATGCAAGATGTGCACATATGGAATTCATCTTTGTCACGGGAGCAAAGATCTCCTAATAATTAATACCACATGTCTAAATAAATTCCTTAGCAACTCGTCAAACTTTGAACCTGTCGACTGTCCCATCAACTTGTTGTTTGACAGTGAACACCAATTTGCACCCCACTGCCCTTCCTCCAGAAAGAAGAAAAAAAAACTAGCTCCCACATGTCATTCTTTCTCATAGCTTTCATTTCTTCCAACATAGCTTCTTTCCCACTTATGATCATTGAGAGCTTATTTCCAACCTTGAATAGATACAAAGGACAAGGAGGAAACAAAAACATAATGGGATAGAGATAAAAAATCATATGAGATAAAGTTAGAGATAGGGTGTTGTGTACAAGCCCTAACACACTTTCTGTTATCAATAGGAAGCTCAAAATCATCTAAATCAGGATTCTCAACGACTAGAGTGATAAGTAAAGGTTCATTACCTGATAAATCAGTGGAAGATGTTTGAACCATAATTAGGGAATACAATAGGCTCCATGGCAGATGGCTAATCTATAATTTGTGACACCAAAAATAAGTCTTATGATTATCCTTGTTAGAGCAAGCACAAGATAGATCATCTATATCACATTTTTCCTTAATAAGTTGTTGTTCCCCCTTGCTAATAACTATGAAAGAGGTAACTAAAAAAGAGGCCCCTGACATCCTATCTCTTCCTCAATAGTAGTATACTCCAACAGTAGTATTCTCCCCTTGGAGAGATGGTTGGGAAGTAGGAAAAAATGACTTAGATTCCCGAAACGTTACTAATAATTTCATTAAAGTAGAGAGAGAAGGAGAAAGAGAGAATATGTTACTACAACTAACATTTTGACTGCAATTACTTAATAAAAGATGCAAATAGAAACTCTTTTATAGTAGAAAAAATAATACTAGAAAATGACTAATCTACCCCTAATACTTAATCCTCGAACACCCCTCCTCAAACTCATGATGTCATAGTAGTAAACATCACAAGTTTGCCAAGAAGAAAACAGAAGCACAAATAGGTATAAGACTTTGTAAAGAAATCTGTCAACTACATTGCACTCGTGTTGTCACAATACGTAAGGGTAGAAACAGACGAAGTAATGCCAAGACCAGCAAGTAACCATCGCAACCAGATTATGTCAAGAGTGTTGAAAGTCATAGCACGACAATTGATCTCAACAGAAAAACGAGCCATAACAATTTAGTTTTTACTCTTCCAAAACATAAGGGAGTAGTAGGTGCAACAACAAGCTAACTAACAATGTGAATTACATAGGACATATCGAGGCGAGTATCTAAAAGATACATTAGATTGCCAACAATAGTGCGATATAGTTTAGGATCATATTAGGAATAGAAAAAATTTTGGAGGAGAAAGAGAGAAGAGAAATCTTATTTGAATGGTAGTGTAATAGGTCACACAATTACACTACAACTTACATATAAACACCAAGTTACAAAATACCCTCAAGCTAAAAAAATAAAGAATAATTAATAGTTCCTATTTCACAGTTTGATGAAATTGAATATACCTGAATGATATCGAAGGGTTGGTAGATGATTTTGGTTCCTTGTGAGGTTCCGAGGGTTTCTATCACTCTAAGGTGAACCCGTTACTGGTAGTAGATGGTTGTTGTGGCGTTTGTGGTGCCACAGGTTCCTACTATTAGTTCTCCTAAAGACCGAGGGTTAATAGATGATTTTAGCTCCTTGCAAGGTTACAAGGTTTCCTACTACTTCTTAGGAGAACCAGTTAGTGAGTTCGGATGATAGTACAGTTCCGGTTACTAATCCTCTCTACAAAGTAAGAAGGACATCGCGTTCCTAGGGTAGAAGGCCCCAAAGCTCGCTGGGGATTTTTATTGTATAGGTTGCTCTTTCCATACAGTTATAAGCCCAAATTTCAAATTAAACTCCGCCATGTTTTTGGCTAAACATTTTTGCTAATTATGTGACCGTTTTTCATAAAATCACCTATAAACGGGCGAAAATTTTCAGATCAAAAGGTTTTCTTTAAAGCATGCTATTTTATGAAATTTGGGCATGACATTTTCAAAACACAATTGTGTATCCACACAATCAATTAATATTTATTCTAAATTGGGATAAGACTTCCAAAGCAAACCAATTTGGGGTTAAGGTCGCAATTTGAGGCCAAAATTTTAGGCTTTCTAATTCGCGAATCCACCCCAACCCCTACTACTATCGTACGACCAGAATGCAGGTCACTGGGAGTTGAGCGAATTCTAGGAATATGGTTTTGATTCATTTTGATTACGTTATTCATCACAAGTTATTACGAATTTGTTAAAGCATCCAACTCAAAACCCATTGACCATATGCGAAAAAGCCCACAATGCATATTTCTTAGTTTGGGAGGGATTATTTTATCGATGTGAGAGAAAGTCTAGCATTTTTCAGCATGTAAACTCCAACTCGCATGTGGAGAGATTAATAGGAAAACCATAAGACAAATTTGGAGACATATAAGTGCATTTATAGCACGAACAAAGATGTGATCAATTATCAAATCAATAAAATTGAGTCTTTCCCAAACCCTCTTCAAGCCTATCTGTGATATCATATCAAAGCCCCTAATCAACATCAGTTGACAATCAATAGCTAAAAATAATTAAGTGGAGAAGTCCAGAAGGCTCATATTCCAATTTAGGTGGGGACAAGCTCTAAGAAAAGCAAATGATAAAATGGATGCTAGTAGCTAAATAGATCTTTCAACATGTGAAGCTAAAAAGATGTTAATTTCTTCACCATTGTGTAACTTGACTGCAGCTGGATTGAGAAAAAATGTATTGAGGTGAAAGATAAAGACAGGTAATGCTTCATTTCACATACCATTTTTGACAATAGTTCTTCCCGATATGGCCTGTCCACTCCCGTAGCACGGAGGAAATTCGCATATAAGGGTTCATCAAGCACTTCGATGTCATCCCTCTGAGGAAAACCCAAAAATAGAAGAAGATAAGAATCTAACTACATCAGCAACAACAATAAAGCCTATAGGCAGCATAATGCATTCACTATTGTTTTGCTTTCAATAGTTTTTTTTTAACAATGAATTTGGCATCCTAGCAATGAAACCCATCTCATGAAACAACTTTATAGAACTCTTGCAAATGGCTTTCACTAAACTTAAGAAGAACCCAATCCTCATTCTCCACTTTACCCATTATGAATAAGCAACTAACCAATTTTTATCATAGTTTCTCCATGGTTTGAAATTACAAATCAGTTGGGAATGCTAATCTATTCTAACTCAAAAATTAGGTGACATTGAAAAATAGAATGCAACATTGGAATTTAACAGCTAGACTAGAAATCATAATACATTTTCCTAAACAACAATACCAAATAGTCTTGACCAGTTTTTGACATCGAATTTGAAAATCAAGCATCATTTCAAGGATCAATAAGAACCTACGGACAATGATACATTTCACAATATAAACTAGTTCTTTTCTACATATTCGATTAGTAGAAGAAGTTTAGGACTGATCAAATAGCAGTTGATCGCAAATAACACAAATGACTTTTTAATTTATCAAAACTAGTATACTCCAAACCAGTTACCTTCCACGGGTCACCAATATAGAAAAGAAAAAGTGAAAAATAATTTCTTTACGCATATCTTACATAATTATGCTGATATAGATATACAGGAACATATTTCTGGTCTTGATGAGGTGGGTACCTGAGCAAAAGAGTACATGAGGCTGGTACTAAGAGATCTTGGAACACACCATGCGTGAATCACCTCTACTTCTGGGTTATTCTCTTCCATTGCCTCAGATTCTTCAAGTTCTCCACCGAATGATTGTTGATGGGAGCTGAGATCGTAAGAATTAGGAAAAATTACATTTAAACCCCTAAAATTCTCCCTTAACCACTTAAATCCTCACACTTAAAATATTACGCACAAACTCCAAAATTTGTAAACCCCCATAATTGTTAGTAAATTCCACCTAGATTCTCTAAAATTTATAGGTTATACACTTAGACCTTTTAAGTCACTTTATTTCAATTAAAGATAGAATATTAAATATTTTAAATTTTACAATAAATATGCATGCTCTATTTTGTCATTTATCAAAAAAAATTAAAAATAATTAATTATTGTTAATGTCAAAAATTAGACAACCTCCATATTAGTTTGTTGGGCTTTGATCACCTAAAAAAGAAGTCGAAGACGGGAGGAAAGCTCCAAAAGTAGACTCTTTGATGCCTAAATTAGTAAGTGACTCAAAGATATGAATTTCATATAGTAATTAATAAAAATATATCAATAAACTCAATTCAATACTCATTTGCATACAATTATATTGTCTATTGAAATAAAACTAAAAAATCAAATAAGAGATCAAATTATAATGGATATAATATCTTCTATCTTTAATTGAGATAATTTGATAGTTTAATAAATTCTATTAGTTCTATAACTAATAAAGGAGTTTAAGTATAATATTTTAAATTTAAAAGATTTAAGTGTTACATGCTTATAAATTTTAAAGAATTTAGATATAATTTAGTAAGGGATATATTAGGTAGGACCTATATATTAGATGCGATCAAGCTTAAGAAGTTTTGTATGTCAATTTTCAAAATATCATGAATATAAGTGATTAATAGATAAAATTCAAGAAATTTGAATATAATTTTCTCTAAGAATTACTATATTATTGTGCAAGACTGTGAGTACAATTATTATGCCGTGAAGGGTTTACTGTTAACAACTAGTCCGACATTTTGCAATAAAAAATGGTTACTACGTAACAGAATCATTTTTAGACTTGAGTTACTATCCAATGATTTGATTTCATCCCCAATTTCTTTTTTATTTTTATTTTTAATTAGGGACAACATTGGACCGAAACGGAGGCAGTGATATAGTCTTCGTCTCCGTTCCTGCTTAAAATAACTCTGTCGATACTCGGTCCACCCCATTAACGAGTATAATTTTCATCCTCATTCTCGTCCGCAGGTAAATTTGTAATCTCTGTCCCGTCCTCACCTTCATCCCGTCCAAACCCAACATAATCCAACATTTTAAATAATCCAAAAAATTGCATATCACCAACTAAAAATTACTCTCATCAATAAGGACTAGTATTTGGTATACTGAGTAGGCAAGAAGTCTATCCATAACTTTTTAAGCAAAAAGTCTAACAATTTTCAAAGAGCAAAAGTCATATTTAAGTTGAATAAACTCAAAAATCAACAAAAATCATATATAACACTATAATCAGAATTCAATAAAGACCATATTCAAGTAGCATAAAATTTCCCCTAAAAAAAAAGTAGCATAAAATTAGAAAATTCAAAATATTGCATATCTAACATTGAAAATCGGATATAGCACATGAAAATTGCAGATCTAACACACACACAAAAAAAAAACAAAATCAAAAAAAGCAACATCTAAAAACATTGTATCTAACACATCGTAAATCCGAAACAAAAACTCTCAATAGCTAACATAACACAAACATTTAGATTTAACAAAACTCATCACAAATCTAACAAAATGGATCACAGATCTAACAAAAGCTATAAAAAAATATACAAAGATAATAGATCTTATCTTATTGAAAAAAAAAAATGGGTCACTGAATTTTGAAATTAACTTTATAAGTGGGTAGGGAATGAGTTTGGGGTTTATGATCTTTTATATATATATATATATATACATGTTAGTGGCGGCAGGAATAGGGTGGGGGTTAGTGTCAGTCCATCTCATACTAGTTTATACGGATATCTCTCTATACGTCCACCGTCTAATACGTATGAATTCTCTCTTTTAGATGAATTCTCTCTTTTAGATAATACCGTCTAATACGGGTTTAGATGACTTCTCTCTTTTATCCGGTCCACTGTCATCCCTATTTTTGAGTAATGACTAAGAACTCAAAAAATTACAACTCAAATTTATATTATTTCTTAAATGAATGGGTCTCATCAATTTTTATAGTGCGACCTACTCATCTAGCACTCATCCATGAGATGATATATATTTGAGTTGTAATTTTTGGGTTCCATTTGGATTATGTTTAGTATTTTTCTCTCTTTTTTTTATATCTCTGCAGTCTCAATGAATCACCGCAATACTTTCTTGCTCATGTATCGGACTAATGTTGGACATTAGCAAAAACCACCACTCCACACAAGAGGGTAAATCTTTGGACAATGGCCCCAAAAGACTACATTTCATAAGATATTCAATCCCCTGACCTCCCCTTCATAAAAGGTTTATTAGGTAGCTAAGCTACCACTAGACGAACCCATCCGGGTGAAGTTACTTTACCATCAATTGTTGTTTGGGTTCTTGTCTTTTTTCCTTATTTTAAACTTTTTATTTTGTTGGTTGGGTCCACATGTTAAAAATGCATAAGGACACCAATTCGTCTTTGGTCAAATGGTACTCCTTATCTTATAAAGGTTTTGTCTTCTTGAGGTCAAGAGTTCAAATTTCCCTCCCAAAAAAATAAAATAAATAAATAAAAACCCATAAGGAGGACAATTTGGTCAAATTTAGACAAACTCCCTTTAAAATGTCACTTTTTTGGGTCGACACGTGATACAACAATCAAAACAAACATGGTATAGGGTGTGACTATGTTATTATAGAACCCACGTGATACAACAATCAAAACAAACATGGTATAAGGTGTGACTATTGTTATTATACAAAAACATCATATCTGGTATTTGATGGAATGAGTTGAGATGAACCCTTCAAACTCATCCAACCATATCCTCAAAACAAGCATATCCCAATATGCGAGTTAAACAACCATGTTATATTTATCAAAAAAATTATGTAAATTATGAGAATAGTTATATTAGTAGATCCCATGACTTTCACTAATGATCCACTTAGGATTAATATGCCACATAATTTGGTATATAAATTTGGTAAAAACCTAGCATACAACGTATTTTTTAGAGTTAAAAAAGGCTTTTCTTAGCTTGTGAGTGGGGGTAAAAAATAAATAAAAGGAAAACTATCTTAAAACGAAAAGTAGATATAGATTTGCAAGAAAATATATTAGTGTGAGTGCATGCCCAATTTACATAACCTAACATTTGTGGGAGACAATAATTTCATACACAACATCACAATCGATATAGTGTTACAATAGTCGTCCACATGAGAACTATGCGATCAACATATCAATATGATAACCAATGAGTTTTATCCAAAAAATAACTAGTGAATCTATGTTGAATATGTTACAATACTTTTTATTCTACATTGTAAGGTATATACGTAAACGTGATACATAATCATATTCGAAAATTACAAGAATAAAATTCAACAAGTTATAACTATCTTACAATCGTGACCACAACTGTACTATGACTCTAAAATATCATGTTTATAGATTTTATCATTCTCAACACTCTTCCTTAAGTTGTTATATATTATCACCATATCCAACTTGCCAAGTAAAAGTTGAAATTCAGTTGATCCGAGAGCTTTAATGAAGAGATTTGCAAGTTGTTTAGTTGTACGCACATAAGTTGTTTAGATGATTTATGTTTGAAGTATCTATCAAACTATGTGTGTGATTAGGAAATACAAGGCTCAAATCAATGTAAAGAAATCCTTAGTATCACCATAGTCTGACTAGATGCAAGTGTTCCACTTTTATGTCTTTTTGGCACATGTTTTAACCAAGCGATTTCACAAGAAGTTATAGTTATGGATCTGTGTTTTGCTTCAGCTAAGGAGCAAGACACAATTGGCGTCTTCATTTTTAAAGGAATGATTGCTCAAATACTATGCAATAGCAAATAATTAGCCATTCGGTACCCTCATAACTTGCTCAATCTAGTCTGCATCCCAAAATACCCTTAGTCGAATTGGACTAGTGCTTGAAAAAAGGATTCCTGACTTGATTGTGTGATGGTAAAATAAATCAACCAAACAATCATTATCTAATATGAAGAAGGTTTTACTAATAGTTCTTCATCAAGTTTATTAATCTTCAATTTCGTTCCATAGGGAACTTTGTTAATTTTGCACCTATGAATCATATGACCTCAAGAATCTTGAGTGCAAACTTTCTTCATGGCAAGTAATTTCTTATTGTCAAGACCAACCTCTATGCCCAAGAAATATTTCAAGTTTTTAAGATCTTTCAGTATAAATCTACATATTTAAGTATATAAATAAAACTACTTCCCTTGGAACAGATGAATAAATAATGAAGGTGTCCTAAATTGCTTCTAGCCATGATTAACAGGGGCCTAATAGAACTTCAAAACCGTTATGTTGATTCTTGTTGGGATAATATAATGATTTGTTGACCTTACACAGTTTTCACTTTTCATCTTAAACTAGAAAGGAGATATGTATTAATTTCCTCTTTAAGGCCACAATATAGAATGCATTATTGATATTAAAAGGGTACATTTATAATTGGCTAAATTCCTTGAGTTACACAAGTCAAATTGATCAAGGTCTAGGTCAAGAAATTGAAAAAATTAGATATCAATGAGTTACATGAAGAATTAATTGAATATGTGTTGCATATTTCAAGCTCAAATTATTGCAATTACACACTAGTTAGGAAGGATAAATTGACTCAACAACCTTTATTTGACTTATTTATGTAGTATATACTTTGTCTTCTCGTTTTAGTAATCGACAGTGGGATTTAAAGCATAATTGAAGGCTTCAATATAGACCATAATCAAGCAAAGCCTTTGGTGGCTTGATCAAGATTATTTGGATTGGTTTTGAAATAATTTAGTAATCGTCATTCGTTTGCTACTCTGTTT